CATACAGAGTTTGATAATGAAAAGAAATCTATAATTGTAGCGTACTTCTCCTCATCCTTCTCAAAGAAAGTGAATCTGCCTCTACGGCCGTTCAAGACGTAGTCACGAGGGCGTTTTGCAGCAATTCGATAACTCAGGTCGTCGACCTGCACAAAGAAAAAGACATAATAATTTATGTATAAATCTATGTATGAATTTGTGCATAAATATATATATGGAAAAAATAGGAAGCTATTCCACGCATAAAAAGCCCAAACATACATACACGCAATGGCATAATCTAACGATCCGACCCAACCCGACCCTGAAAATTCGACTAATCCAATACGTGTGCATCCTACATTTCTCACCGGTCTGAAGACCTTAGTAGCCAGGACAAATAGGCATATTAATGTGAGTAAAACTGCTCGAGTCTTTTTGAGAGCCCGCGCGCAGCTCACATTTCTCATCACCCTAAGGCCAGACAGGTAAATCTTCTTTAAACGGCGACAATCCGTACCACCACCCTCCTCCTTATCTTCCCATAGCGCCCCCTCCCCACCCGAACCTGCAGTTGGAATTCAACATAATTTCTGACCAGTCTTAAGTCAGACAGAGGCAAATGGGGGCTCTCATGGCCTAGAGGTTAAGGTGTTGGACTCCCATTCAAAGGTCCCAGGTTCGAATCCGGGTAGCGACCGAAACATTTTCATCATTTTTTCCTGCTCATTAGCAATGTTCTGTCATCTGCTTTCGTCTCCTCTTTCTGCCCCCGCCCCCTCACCTTCTTTGCCCCCTCCTCTGGACTCCTGACTCTTTCTGCAGCCTTTCAACTGTTACTCCTTGGCCCCTACTGCTGTCTTTCAGCTACACACCTGATCTACTGGTAGGAAAGATCTACACATAAATTTCTCGGACAAGAGCGAAAAATCTCGGTGGGTCTATGGGCAAGTTGCGCACGTTAAAGAATCCTTGGTGATCTAAAAAAATCGATAAGAGTAGGCTTCGGCCGCCACCAGGGCAACATTGAAAATTTCCTACCAAACTGAAAAGCGTTTAATATGTTCCGCGCACTCATATGACTTTATGCAGTTGCAAGCGCTGTAAAACACTTACAAAAAAAAAAGACAGAGGCATATCTTCTCTAAACGATGACAGTCCTTGCCACTACCCGCCTACCTGCTTTTAAGTTTAAAAGTATGACCCTACCCTGTTAATGAAATATGTTTACATCCAACATTTCTCACCGGCCGGAGGTCAGACAGAGGTACATCTTCCTGAAGCGGTGAACACAGCATTCTGTAGTTCCACTGGGCATACTGGGGCTCACCTGAAGTGTGTGGGTTAGACTGTTACAGAGGAGAATCATGTGTGTATGTGTGTGTGTGTGTGTGTGTGTGTGTGTGTGTGTGTGTGTGTATGTGTGTGTATGTGTTTGTGTGTGTGTGTGTGTGTGCGTGTGTTTTGGCCAACATTCCCTTTTAAGGTACAATGTCAATGACCATATCATTTGTATCAAAAACACACTGACTATAAGAACGTGGGTAAAATAACAATGAGATGGAACAACAAAAGAACAT